TTCAAACTGAGATATGGAGGAAAAATGAAAATCCAGAGAACTTACTGCTCCTCCATTCCTTGAGTCCCAGGGTCCATAACTGGTCTGCTGTCTTCTCTCCATTTTTCAAAGTCTTTTTATATTCATTTTATGTATGATGTCCAGCATTTTTAGGTATATTTAGTGAGAAGAATAGGAGATATGTGTCTCTTCCATTTTGTGTGGAACTAAAAGTACATGTGCATTTAAGGAATTAAAGGCCTGACTTAACCTAATTTTATACAGTCAAAATAAAAGATAAACATAAAATAAGAATCAGAGAAATGTAGTAATAGTTATGAAGTAATCCCATTTTCCATTGAAATATTACCTTTCTCAGCTGTCCTCCTAATCTTGGGAATGGTGAATTTCTTCAAAGGATTAACTTCTACACCAGTCACTAATAAAGGTTCACTGGTTGAGTTCATTTTCCATAGTGTCTTGTGCTTAGCAATCTCTTTCATTTCCATTTTCTTGGTGGCCTAAAGTCGACCCAAAATTAAGCAAAAGGTCAATAAATACATAAGAGGAAATGGCACTAAAATCATTTAAAAGTTCTTACATGGAATTAAAAAAAAGATTCTTGTTCACATTCACAATAGGTTTCAATCTCAATTTTCCAGGTTGCTCAAAATAGAATACAAATGAACAACTTTGACTTTTATATAATATTAAAAATATTTATTTTCTAGTTTTTAATACTTTTTCTTTGTAAGTCATGTAACTGTAATTGCATAATCCAAAGCTTCTGTATTCTTGAAAAGCTTAATAACTTCCAAGCACTAATTTTTACTATTTGGTAACATTCTTGCCAAATACTCTAATCTTAAAAGTATTTTTCTTAGACACTTCTGTGGCTACATGATGTTCTCTAAATTAGAATCTTTGGCTTTAGGAGAAACAGGAAAGTTGTAAACCAACTATTGCATGGCTATCCCTACAACTGATGGCCTAAAACAATCATTCATTGACTATTGTTCCTTAGTATCACTCTACAAATGGTTTTAAGACATCATATATTGTCACAGCAATAATAATAAATTTCTTTTATTCCCTCTTCCCTTCTCTCCCTAGCCTTCCTTCCCCACCCACACACTGATTCTTAACCTTTCAAATAGAATTCATACTGGATATCAAAGGAAAGCTATGGAGCCCACATACATGTAAACATGTATTTTTCATACCATTTAATAATATGGTTCATGGGCCTCCTGATATCTGTAACTGCTTAGCTCAAACATGAGGTCACAATATAAATTAAGAGCTGTCAAAATTCTATAGAAGGATCACAAAGGATAAGCTTCTACAGAAGGTTCACAAAGGATGCTCCCCCCAGTCCTCAATCCTCCTCTCTTTATGAAAGGTGATCTTGCAATCTCCTGATCAAATGGCAGTCAGAATAGGGAATGGACAGAGACCTCTAGAAAGAGAAGAAAATCAGCCTCTTCTTATCCAGTCCACTGAGAGACACTAATGGTGTTGTCTCCTAATAAAAATACCCTTAAAATATACCAGAGCTCAAGAGAGAGCTGCCAAAGTGGCCATTGACGCCGAGCAATTTGGTAAGGAGAAAAAGGAAGAATAATTTATTTAGAATGACATATTACAAAAAAATCTCTTCAATTCATCATGATCTACATCTATTGCACACAAAGGTATACAATCATCAGCTGAATATACTTTGCTCGAAGAGCCAAGTGCTGCGACAATCCTCAATATTGCCTTTAAATAGTTAGATTACATTTTCAGGAAAGAAGGAGATATTTCAGCTGTATGGTTTCTAAAATGTTTCTCTAGTAAAAGTTACTAATAAAGACTTCGGAAATTCACTGAATTGTTTCCTCAGTGCTTAGGAGAACATTTAGCCACAATATAGCTAAGTTAAAAACTCTTTGATGAAAGATGAATATTCAGGGCACAATGGTATTCAATATCCTTCATTAAATAAGTTGCACCCAGCAATTTTTCAGTTATAACTTTTCAAGTAGGAATAATAATAATAACCCTTCAACTTCAGCTCAAACAAATCAGCCCCATTAAAGAGATAATAAATTCACATATTTCTTTGTATTCATATATCATAGTTCCATAACCACATTTACTTATATTTTTAAAATATATATGCAAAAATATTTCATATTATGTACTGGAAAATACACATAATAATCTTGTAAACATTATGTATTTACATATTATTTATCTTTCTATATGTAAAAACAAAATCAGGTAGTTTGAATCCTGAAGGTTCATGCTGAGGTGTCCTATGGGATCCTGGGTTATTCTAGGTGAGCAGTGGAGAGTCGAGAGAAAAAAATTCTAAAAATTTTAAGAACAGTTAATGCACAGAATGTTACACATGGCAGGTCCTTAACAGATATTCAAATGAATGAATATGAACTAAAGATCAAACATAGAAACCAACACCATAAGGGTTCTCCAACAACTAAAATATCTACATATACATGACTTACATGTATGTATATTATGAACAACTTTAAGCCAATACATTTAAAGATGATACTAAATAATACAAGAAAAATATCATCATCCTATTACTATTAAAAAAAATTAAGTCAGTAGTTACAAACTGATTCTAAAAATAAAAATGATATAACATAAACAAGCTGAGTACATCCCATAAATGCCAAGGAGATTTAACATTAGGAAATACATATATTTCATTTACCACATAAACCTTTTAAAGGAGAAAAAAACAAGTGATTAACTCAAAAGATGCAGAAAAAATCTAATCAAATTAAAAATTCATGTATGACATTAAAAAAAAAAGCCTTAGTAAAGAGGAATAGACAGAAACATTCATAACTTGATGACAGGTATCTATGGAAAATTTACAGCAAATTGGTAAATGTCAGAAACACTATTTCTTAAATTAAGAATAAAACCAGGATACCCACTATCACTGTGCTTCCTTTAACAGTGTGCTGGAGGTGATCAAAGGGCAGAGATGAGGAAAAAAGGTATAAAGGAACTAAAAAGCTAAAGGGGAAATGAAAGGGACTTGGCAATTACTGGGAGTGAAAGAGAGTGTCTCAACTTGTAAGAGAAAGCTTAGATCCAAATACTGGACAGATTAAGAATGAATGTTACTTAGAAAAGCAAAAGATCATAATGTTCAAATTTTGGTTCTACCATTAGTCAACAATGTTATATATTAGGCAAAATACTTAACTTCTTTGAGGCTAATGGCATCAAGTACCTGACTTGGTTGCAGAACCTAGTACACAATAACTGCACACAATTAACCATTAGTGTAATCTTGAAGCCTCTACTATGGTACTAGGTGATAGTTTTGTCAAGCAGCACAGTATTGTAAAGTTAACTAGGTCAGAAATCAAGTGATATCGGTTTTAATTCTAGCTCTGCAATTAATTAATTAACCTTGGGTAAGTCACTAACTTTCTTTGTAGTGCATTACTCTGCATGCAATTATGTATGGTAATACATTTTTTTTCAGACACATCTTAGTGACAAAAGAATAAATTCTTTCTATGTCAAATAGCCAAGTCTAAAGACTTAATCCTCTCAAAGTACATTTAAAAAAAATATTTGTACTGAGTTTCCTAAGACTACCATTAAACATTAAAGACTTTAATGCTTGGGACCACTGGTTAAAGAGATTACTAAATAAACCAGCAAAATATTTACCTAATTGCTATCAAAGAGTCTTTAATTAATGACAATACTTAGTGTTGAGCAACTTAGCCCTAGAGTTCCTTTAATAAGACTCGACTACTATCAGTTATGAAAAGATTTCCTAAGATAGGGCAACTCAGGATGACTATAGATGTACGAAGCCTTACTGAAAAATTTTTTTTCAGTTCTTTCAAATTTTCACATTAATCAGCTTACTGTTAATTTACCTTTAACATCTCTAAAAATTTGCTAATCTCTCTTTTTAACAACAACAACAAAAAAAACAATACCTCAGTTTCAGGATTTTCTGGAAAATAATACTGTTCTAACTTGTTTTACTCTTACTTTTATTTGTGCCAAATAATATTGATTTTCCATTTATTTTCTACCCCCAAATATACTTCAAATAAGTATTTTAAAAGACTGAAAAAATTATTGTAATGATAGTAAATAGATATAACATAAATCATCTCACTTCTAGTAATCTCAGGAAAGAGTACCCGAATAAATGATGAACAAAAAATATTCTTAGAAATTTAATCACAAATACATAAATTCTAAGTTCTGCAGAGTTCTAAATAGTTGAGACTAAAAAATACTTCTGATAAACAGGTTAAATCAGATCATACATTTGATAAACTAAACATACACTTAGTGAGCTTAAGAATCCCCCAGTCAAGACTATACAAGGTAGAAATGAAATATATTTTAGTCCAAATTTTCATTTGATAGATCAGAAGTTGGCAAAGTATAGCCTGTAGGTCAAATCCAGCCTACCACTAGTTTTTGTAGGGCCTACAGATAAATGACTGAAAAAAAATCAAGAATATTATTTCATGTTACTTAAAAAAATTCTATGAAATTCAAAGGTCTATAGTTTAATGGAACACAGCCATATCCATTCACTTATCTATGGCTGTTTTCCTATTAGAAAAGCATAGGTGAATAAATGTGACAGAAACACTATGGCCCACAAAGACCAAAGTATTTATTATCTAGCCTTTTACAGAAAAAGTTTGCCAACTCCTGTTATAAATGAAGGAACTAAGTATCAAAGAATTGAAACAACGAAAACTAGGTCTTGTTTTTCTCCTACACTCCCATTGTCTCAATGATCTATCCACTATATTCTGAATTTCATCCCTACCCACGTTGCTTCTCTTTATCTTGTCCAACAGTCTAGGATTTCCACCTCCATTACTCTACTTAAACAGCAATCTTCAGTCACCAATGTGCACTTCAATTTCTCACTCACATTAGTACATTTCTGGCTCATAACTCACTTGGCCCACTATACATTTGACACTCTTGACCAATCAGCTCTTGAAACATAAGACACGCTTCTCCTGACTTTTGTGACTTCACAATCCTGATTTTACAGCTACTTCTCAGGCTGTGCATTAGTCTCTTAACTCATCTGTCTTTATCTGACCTTTATTATTGTTTTAATAAATTTTTACTTATATAAGAAGAGTCTCTGAAAAAATTTTTTTAAAAATATTTTATCAAACTAATCTTTGCAAACAATAAAAATAGATCCTGGTTTTAATATACATTTCTTTCATTATGAGTGAGGTTACCTAGTTTATTTTTTCTGTGAATCACTTGTTCCTATCTTTTTCTCAATTTTTCTTTACAGGTAAGATGGTCTTTAATGATTTGTAAGGACTCTATATAGAAATTAGTTTTTATCTGTCATAAATGTTGCGATATTTGTCTTTAAATATGTTTATGGAATTTTTCTCCCACAGAAGAACTTTAATTTTTGTGGTCTAATTTCTCAGTCTTTTAATATATTGAATTTTTGTACTATCAC